AAAATACTTTATTGAAGATCCATATTTTTCAAAAACAACAAATCTTGTTAAGAAAAGCAAGACAAAGACAAAACTAAAGTAATAGTTCACCTCTTTTTGTAAACACAAAATATAACAATAAAAAATCGTTGTTTTCAGCCTTTGGAGGCTTTACTTCCTAATGAACAGCTTGTATGAATTGCTTTGCTTTACTTCTTACAAAACAACCTCAGTTCGTCTCTTACAGATGACCTTCATAATGTAATATTTTGAGAATGCATAAAAAAACAAGAAACAAAATGGGTTTATTTTGTACTTCATTAAGTGCAGTGCGGTAATCTGTACCTGTGAAAAAGACTAATGCAGTTTCATACTCCACTTATTATTGACTACATACTTACACCTGTTACTCCTCGTTGAGGATCACCGACCGCTCACCAGCAGTCTCCATCCGACCATGTCATTGGCAATCCCTTCCAGTTACTATTCATCCTTTTTGTGTCTGCTTCCAATTTCCGACGTAGTATGTCCTACGGCCTTCCTGCGTTCCATCTCCCATGTTGTCGCTTACCTTGTGATGCAGTTTGACGATTTCCTCAGTGTGCATCCTGTCTACTTCCAACGTCTTTTCTTAATTTCCTCTTCAACTAGAAGCCGGTTTGCCGTCTTCTAAAGTAAGCTGCTGATGATGGTATTCAGTCAACGGATATTCAGTATCATACGTAGAAAATTGTTTTTAAATATCAGCACATTTTTGATTATTGTCGTAGTAGTTCTCCAAGTTTCAGCATCGTACAACAGAACTGTCTTGACGTTCGTACTGAAGATTGTGACTCTGATATTGGTTGACAGTTGTTTTGAGTTCCATATGTTCTTCAACCGTAGGAATGCGACCCTCACTTTGCCAATCCTAGCCTTTACATTCGCATCGGGTCCTCTTTGTTCATTGATGATGCTTCCCAGTTACGTAGAGGTCTCTACATCTTCTAGAGTTCCCCGTCATGTGTGATTGGGTTGGTGTCATCCGTATTACGTTTGAGGATCTTGCTGTTTTCATTATGTATGTTGAGTCCTACTGCTTCACAGGCCGCTGCTACACTACCCGTCTTCATGCGCCCGTAGCTTTTCTAGAGTTACTGCTGGTCGCATGCCCGAGTAAAGGAGGAGGTTTGGGCACGAGTTCAGCAACCCCATCCTGTAGAAAAAAATCTTGCCGAAAAATGCCAACCAGAATAAACAAACTAAACAATTTACACTCTGCCCTGGGAGTTGAAGGAAGAATTATGATGCTTCAGGATGAAAGACACTTATTATTACTGTATTATAAAAAACAGGTTCAAAGTTTTGTGGATAATATGTATGGTTAGAATTAGTAATATAATGAATAAAAATATTTGTCAGCAAATGCTATTTGATGATGCAATCCAACCGACTGACACTAGTCGCTAATTTGAATAACAAGCGCAAGCCTCTGAGTAATGCATATGAAAAATCAGAAAATTAGTCTACATGATTGAATTTTACTCTGATAAATATCATCTTTATAGACATGTATCGGATGCAAAATAAACCCGAGTAAACGTCATTTCAGAAATTACGGATTAGAGATAACGCATTCTATAGGTCACTCACGATTTGGTGTAATCAGAATATAACTTATGGGGTTCATTTTTTGTTAACCATGTCAAAATAATTGACTATTCATAATAGATGACTTATCCATTTTTAAGGTAAACTGGACTGATAAATTTTTATATCTAACGTCTCTTGTACTCCCTAAGAATTGTTGTTTACACTAGAGTGGTTAAACTTCCAGTTTGATGAGAAATGGCTAAAAATTAAGATCCTAACAATTTATGTACTTTTATTTTATAAGAGTGAAGACTACTCGTAAAATGACTCTGATGACAACAGTCAGACAACGACGGCTAGTTGAAATTTAGGCATTGTAATAAAATAACGAAAACATAAAACTGAAAATGACCATTGGAATCATTTTTTCCGTTTCGCAAAAGTCCTGAAAACTTCCAAAGGACGCCATGTACTTTTATTTGAACCACAGTACATTCAACATTAAAGCATGGTAGAAGATAAGTATATGGAGATAATTCAGTTCCATGTGATAACTTTTTTAACTGAATACATTTTTGACACAACATTTAAGAAATTTGCTTCATTTTCAGTTAGAGTCAAGTTAAATTCTAAACTGCGTACATGACTGATCTTAAACTCTGGTCATCAAAGCCACGTCAGCGTTTTTATGTCACACACCTGTAAAACTTCACATCGTGCCGGGAATAGTTCGAGTTTTGATCGCGTGCTATCAAGTATTAGTTCGTTCAACAAGAATCCATGGTAAAAGACGACTGAATGGAGATTAAGTTTCACCAATATTTTTAGTAGAAGGAGATTTATATCACTTAAGAATAATTCATGAATTGAAAGGGGATTTGGGACCAAATAAAAATGTCAGTTTATCCCCAAATTTCAAAATAAAAATATTCTGCTCCATGTATATGAAAAAAAACTTTTATATATTTTATTCAGACAAGGCACTAGAAGTTGTCTTCTTTGGAACCAGTATTTATATCACTTATATAAGGTTGGCAGAGAAAACATTTCCTGGAAACAGTCTTATTGTTGAGTTTTTTTGTGTGTAGCCTTATGGATCCCTTTTGTTGAAAGTAATAGAAAAAGATCATAAATAAAGTATCAGGCCAAACTAAAATTTTTCACAAAGACAAATCTTTAACCTGAAGTTGAAATTAGGATGGTGAAGAAGAGTAATAGCTCAAGTGGATGATTTTGGTAGGGCTTCATTTTCTGAGATGAATGGCTTTCTATAGGGCACAAAATCACATTATCCAGATTCCTGAATTATAGAACAATTAAATCCTAAAGTATTTACCCCTCTGATATTGTTAAGTTTATCCGTCTATAGCTTCGTAATTAAAATAAAAACGTTTTCGCAAAAACTATTTTTGCCAGATGCTTTAAAAAAGTCTCTAAAATTAACTGTTAAATGTGTCATAAAAATAAAGTAAAAAGTTCTTAATCCCTCTATCAAATTTTCATTTCCATATATGTTCTAGCCAATATTAGTAAACATTGGGATAGACAATTGATGTACAAAGTTGATTCATGTGGATATTTCTGATTTAAAGTTTATTCCTTTCACCTTATCAAATTTCAAACAAATTAGTAATAAACACTGTTAACATTGAGTAAGAAAACCGATTGTGGAGTAGAAAATTATGATACGTATTTCAGACCACTATCCAATTTATATTTTGTGATTAATTCACCAATTGGCAGTAAACACAAACTCAATGAACTGAGCTCAAATGCGCAGGTTGCATATTTAAATTTCATTTTACCGATTCGTTACAGGAAAATTAGAAGTTTTATTTTTACCAAGATAATGAGATGAAAAAAAGATTTATACCTTATTGTTGAGTTTTTGAAATAATTTTCGACATTTTGCTTTGTGATGTACATGAATAGATACATAATAAAATAAAGGGAAGATATTTTACTACAGTCATATTTGATTATGACGTTTCAAACGACAAATATAATAATTTCCTGTTGGTTAGTCAGTACAGTGTTAAATAGAGCAAGGATAAAAAACTGGGAAGAATAAAATGAACTCGTAAGGTTCTCATCAGTTGTTTTCAGTCTTTAATTACTAAAAATCAAAATTATTGTAAAGTTTACATACTTATAACAGCGAAAATGGGTAGGTATCATCATTTTGGAGAAATGATAGTGTAGACATGAAAATAGCGCTGTAAATAAATATATGTGAGAAAAGATTCTAGACCGTCGGACAGCAAAAAGAGATCCCGAAGAAAATAAATAGTTGATTATATAGTGAAGCAGTCGGAAACAAATTAACAATTAAGAATAACATAAGTTGACATCAGTCAGTTAAAAAATGGTGTTATGAATACGAAAAGACAATGAAATTATTATGGGAGAGATCTAAATTGCAAACTTGATGTAAAAAACTTGTCGATGAAGAGACTGTTGTGAGAAAAGACTTGCAACTGCTTCCATTAGACGACTATAGCTAAGGCGAATTCGAAAAAGGCTTTTAGCAGAGCTATTGTAGAACTTCTCTGTAACACAGAGAGTCAAGTTGATAGACTGAAATCTTTCAGCACCATCTATCAAGGGTCAACCTCCATGCTTCTTTAATTAGCCGAAGCTATATTCATATTTGAAATATTTTATTAGATAGATGGATATTTTAAGTAACTGTTAACAATCGGTCATAGCAGTCATTTGAATGCAAATTCATTAGCTTATATATTCATTAAACTTAAGAGACTTGTGATGATTTTTTCCTGAGGTGCTACTAGAAAAATCACTGATACTTCTCAAATTTATGCCTATATACCGTCATCTAAAACTAAATAGATTAGTTACAGTAAATATTACGAGGGAAAACAGCCAACTTGGAGTAACCTGATACCAGTGGTATTTTAAGCATCTTGATTTAAATTTCTAAGCAAACATCTCAACAGACGGATGGGTTTCAGTTAAAGGATACATTATTACGATGAAGAAATATGAATTCTGTACAGAGATATAACTATAACATCCCCAAACAGTTTTATTACAGAATACAATCTCGATTTACAACTGTATACGGCATTATATTGCCAAAATAACAATACCACAAATCTAACAATGTTAAATATAATAACAAACTTAGATAAATTTAGACATTTTTTGAAACTAGTTCACTAGTCGAATATTTATTTACAGCACTGTTGCGTCTTATCTGGAAGGAAATAGCAAGTTTAGGATGCATTAAATCAGTAGTATTTAACTTTTATGAAGCAATATCCATAGCTCTATAAGTTAGTATTTTTAAAAATGTATTAAATGTTAAATAAGTTTAAGATGAAATGTAACTTTTTTTATGTAGTTTTATTTAGAATAGATTATTAACAGCGATACACCAAATAAAATCCCCAAGAAGTTATCTTGTCAAGAAAGAAAACAGATTCACAATGAATTCAACGGAGAATGATAACAGAAATACCCAGAAGTTTCAAAAAAACCTTAATGAAACATTAGAAGGTAATAATAGAATAGATTAATAATGAACTGTTACAAAAAATTTTGTTATATATTTTAGAAAAAGAAAAATTAAAAAGTATATTGTCATCAACGAAAACTGAATGTAACTTATTAAAAAGTCAAATTGAATCAGGTAATATAAGAAAAATAAACATCAATAAACTTTTGATTACTTAGCAACAGAAGAATTGAGAAAAGTTAATAAAGAAATTCAAGACATACAAAGTTAGTGAAAAATAATTTGATTATTTTATAAATAATAATTTATTTTCTTGTAGTTAAGAAAAATTGTTAATAAAAAAACAAGCTATCAGACGACAAAGAGAACAAAAGTACGTATATATATATATATATATATATATATATATATATATATATATATAACAAAATTTGAACCATGGGTCAATGAATATTCATGTATTATTTATAATTTGATATTATACGAAGAAAAGTTATTTAATGATAGTATATCGTAAATATTGGACTCCGATTAACTAACAACATAGTGAGTATCAAGTGATTTTAGTCTCATAGTATTTTCAACATACCAAGGTACAAAGTGTAATTTTCATAACGGATATTTTGCATGCTCATTAAACTATGCCACCTTTTGCTTTTGGTGACTCTTTTCGATTACTTATACTGCTTAGCTTTAATAAAATTATGTAAATCAATAACAACATTACCAAAATTTCATTAAAACAGGAACAAAATTATTTGTTTTAACTCGGTTACTTATCCCAGGTATATGATATTGAGTTAATATGGTTACACTAAATAATATATTCTAACGCGAGCAACGCTATAAATTGCTGTGAAAATTTTATGCATGTTGTTAGTCAGTTAGTAAATAAACCACCGAAATCAAGAATCAGTTGGGCCCAACTTTTGAGATTTTCAAGAGATAAAATCGGTTGTTATTACTTTAAAGCAGGTCAATTGCTCTACATAAATATATTCATTCGCTAGCAAACTAGTTTATGTTTGGGTACTTTATCGACTCTTAAACGTCTTCATAAATGATTTCATATTCGTTTTACAACCATTGAGTGCATACTTCATTAAGGGTTATAAAACATTAATCAAAGAACCATGTAAATGTAATTCTAGATTCATTTAGGTAGTTTGAAAAACACAAGAGTTCCTGTTATTTAATCCATTGGTAGAAACATGATTTAATTGAAGGATTACTTTAGACAAACCAATAAATTACATATCATTACATTAGGATTCGGAAAGAATACAAATAAGAGGGATTAGATATTTTGAGTTGTTTTGCATAGAACTTAAGACATAACCTTTTATCGATTCTGTGCGACTCAAACACTAAATAAAACTATTCTGTACATAGCCATCAATAAGATAAATGTTAGCTGAGATTACTGTCTGAACTGTATGTAGATAACTCTGCTTTAATCTTCATCATAAATAGCATACAGTATATTATATTTACACTGTCATTACACTGAAAAGACTGGTCTGTTATTTCTATATATGACCACTCTGATTTTTTCGAAAATTGATAACAAATTTATCATTTTGCTCCCCATATTCCTCTTATAACTAACCTATTGCTAATTTGGGTAAGCGATAGACATTATTAATACAAGTATTTAAGCAATTTTAAAATGTATGGTCTAGTTTAATGTAATAAAAAACTCATCATTTTTACGGTTTCCCCATTTATTATTGTGCAGGGCACAAAAGATTTATACTCACTAATTTCAAATAAACAAAAGATTGAAGATTTGATAAAAGTTGAACGTGAAAATTCTTTGAATGAAAGGTAATCTCAACTAATAAGTGGTTTTTACCATTGTACTAACTCATTAACTCAATAGAATTCATCAACTACAGGAATGTATTAAATATTCAGAAGACCATTGGATTTTTCGATATTTTAATGATAGGAATTTTGAAGGTGAAGCACAAAAAGAAGAGATTGAAGGAAATGAAATCGTTCTTATTGAAAATAAACAAATTTAATATTTTACTGTTTGTTAATGTTATAGCTGTTGGTTTTTATTGGTAAATAAATTGAAGTTGAATTCACTATTGTTCTTTCACATATGCTTTTTTATTTACTCATTGCGTACCAGTTCAAAATACGAAAACTAACAAATACGTACTATTTTTTGGTCAGTGTGTTGATGACTTAAAAATGCCATCAGCATACTTGAGTATAACAAAGTGCATCACTATGTCCCAACTGAGTATTGTCAATAAATATATAAACTATATCATCAATTAATCGTAAATCAAAAGGTCATAAATAAACAAATTATTAGTGTGTAGATTATTTTGACGTTATTTCAAAGAATCTAAATACGAACACTTGTACTCTTTCATAATACACATGATTGGTGAAGGAAATCTAAATTTTGATTAAGATCGTGAATCGCTAAATGTTAGACCACCATTGAAAACCTGAAAGTACTGGACAGTCGTTTCGTCTTAGTATTGAATTTTTCAGGGGGTCCGCATACATGATCCGCACTCGGGCTTCGAACTCGGAACCTCCGGTCTTGCACCGGCTCAGTAGTTTAGAGGTTGGGCGTCCGCTGGCGAGACCGAAGGTCCTGGAGTCAAATACCGAGTGGGGGATCGTTTATGCGCATCACTGAGGAGTCTCATATTGTGACAATATGGCCGTTCAATGATTCCAGGTTTTCAATGGCGTTCCAATATCCATCGATTCATGATTCTCATCATAACTCAACAATCTCCATAACCCTACACTGATAAAATCTAAATTGTTTAGGGTGTTATGTGTGTGTTAAGTTCAAGCCTAATATTGTAAAATGTCAAAATCTTGAAGATTTCTGAATCGATCAAGAAAATAATTGAATACATAATTTTATGTAAAAAAGAGATAAAATTCAATATTATATTTATATTTGGTAAACTGCCAAGTACTCATTCCAGAAAATAATTTAATATAATTGAAAATAACAGACGAACAGGTGACTTTTTAAATACAACTTTCAATATCATGTAGTTAAAGCTAGTCGCCATAAAACTTCAAAACCAGATTTCGTGCTTGTTGGTGTTATGACTGGTCATCGCTAATCGTTATGTCGGAACCCTTACTACTTATACTTCTAAAAAGAGGAACCACTGCAATTCCTGCGACGCGAAGTAAGAACACCAAGACTGATACAAGTGAAGATGTACTAAACCCAAAACACGACCCTAGTCGAAAATACCCTCATTTACATATTGATTGTACACCTATTTTGATAATTAATTAGGACGAAATCACATATGCGAAAAATAATTAGAGTTATAACAAATCACACCGCATGTCATGCCGAACATAGATTATGTTTAATTAATGAAGAATATCGTATCTTTAACAAATACTGCACTCAAATAAATTAATGCTTTACCGAGTAAAAAACTTACTACTGGAAAACAAAACAAATACTATACTGAGTAATTATCACATTGAATTAAAAAAGTGGAAGTAATAATGAACAAAAATCACAATGAGTAAAAGAATGTAATTTTGCTTCCTAATTCCATCATAGCAGTTAGCACGCGCTATCAAACCCTTTCTATAATCTGCAGAGAAATGACATTCTCTGGTAGATAGTTCCCCAATCTAAAACATTGTCACTAAGCTATTCAAGTCATAGTCAAATTACTACAAATAAAATTATGAACTGTTCTTCTCCACCTCTCAAATTATCAAAAATGATTGTATAAATCAACGTGTTTCATTACTAGTAAGCTGTATGACCAAAATTCCTAATTTTAGTTCATTAGACTTGAGACTATTAACTCTTGGTGGTAATATGAAAATATAAATTCGAAAATTTAAGTATTACGAGTCTTACAAGCAAAACATTATTAATAACTTCATTTTTTTGACATTACCACATTTTGTTTTACTAAACAGAGATTTTTATTGTTCAGTTTTCGTTATGTTTTAAAGTCTTTTGATCAAAGAACACATTCATATATAAGTCAATTGAAGCTAGACCACCATGAAAAACCTGGAAGCACTGGACGACCGTTTCGTCCTAGTATGGGACTCCTCAGCAGTGAGCATCTACTTTCAAACTTGCGTTTCTCAACTAAAAATTATTTGTTTTTTACTGCCCTCTACTTTGAACAAATAACTCCTACCGTTTAACAACAAAGTCTGGAAAAAAAACATTAGACTATAGTTACTATAACAAATACCTGCTGATTTTTTTAAACTACTTAAAACACTGCACTATAATAATGATATTTATCATTTTAATTAATATTAACAAATGGATTGACTCGTTCGCTAAAATATCAACCAATTTGTTAGTTGCAATCTGATATTCTTTTAAGTATTAATACAAAAACAAGTAAATTTAATCGGTGACCTTAATTTATTTGTTCATAAAACGTTTCTTTTTCAAAGAAAAACCAAAATCTTTAAAAGTCAATTGATTGGTTGGTAACCATCTTCCTTAAGTAATAAGGTTTAAGAAATAATATAAAAGGAAGAATACGTACAAATGTACTTTATAAAATATATTCACTTAAATCAAAATATAATAATGTTAATATAACTATTTTACATATAAGCAATGAATGGAAATGTAATAATAAAAGAAAAGTCAACTACTTCAAATTCAATTAGTAATCAGCATAGAATTACAACACCTATTCAACCAACATTACGTACTCGTAGTATATATCTTGTATATCCACCACCGGTAAAATATGAACCAAATCCACCACCTAGAATTAATCCTTATTTTTATTCGAAACATGCTAAAAATATGCTAGCTGAAACAACTGATGCTAGTAATTATATTCATGAAAGAGCTAATCATATGTTAAGAAATGAATATGATAGATATCATCATTATTATTCTAATTATTTTTATGGAAATATGAAAGAGAAAGAAGATTATCGGTAAGTTACCACTTATAGTTATTTTCAAATTAACCAATTTAAAGTTTTGTATCAAACAATTCAGTCTAATTGTAAACGGAACGCTTCAAAATAGCATTAATCTTATGTTAATATAGAAAAATCTGTCAACCCTAATGTACAGTCAATATGGTACTACCAGTTTTGTCATTATTATTATTATTATTACGCGGGATTAAACTACTCTTCTATTAAATACATAGTAAATTGATGTACTCATAATAATGTAATGAATAAGTAGATGGGCAAAAAAAGAAAACGGTTTCTAACTTTGTTTATTGCATTGTAGAGAATAAACTCAGACAGATTTGTTGACCACATCAAACTACTTTATAAAGAGGGGAATCTATCAGTCCCTATTATTAGAAGACTATAAAAGAACTTCAAATAAGAAAGTTCCGTCAGTACTAGAAAATCATTTTTCTGAAAAATGCATAATGTTGATTAGAATTTCTTGAAAGTTTAGGAAAACTAGTATTTTTAAAGTCTCTTTTTGTTATTTGGCTTTATTATCAGTGATCCAGTGAATTTCACAAACTTAAAATCTATATAATCATTTTATAATGGTTACCAATCTGTACACAGAGAACGAAACATTTATGGTATTCACGGATAAACTATTTGAAAATCTATTACAAAGATAATAATGGAAGTACAGAGAAATCGATTACTTTACATTCTTAAAGTATATGTATTTAACTCATATAATTATATCGAACAAAAGTTTGACACTAATGATTATCAATAAAGTTCGCGCTTCGAAACTAAAATCGCTATGACTTTTTATAATCAAGTCTTCTGATGAGCAAAAATAAACTTTTATAGTACTATTAAGTGGATATACTGTTTATACTAGCAGTAATAAATTCCTTAAAAAAGTAAGGATAAGAACATAAATTTAGTTACTGACGATTATATAGACCTTTCCTAGTTAGTTAAATTAACAATAAATTAAGATACATTACTCTGATAAAATCTAAAACTATTTAGATTTCAAGAGTCAGAAAACTATGCGGTATTAAAGTATATCATTGTGATTGTTACTAATAAAAGTGATTATGCATAATATTGGAAACTTATTATTCTCAAACTCTAAAACTTATCACTGGGATAAAATGTTATCAAGTTTAGTTATTTATTATCAAAGGAAAAACGGAAATTCAGATTAAAAGAAAAACGAGAAAGGAGATAAGTAAATTAGTCTAAAATCTTTAATCATAAATTTATAAATGTATGTAATTCCTTTAATGGCGAGCAAAACGTTATCAAATGTGATCTACTGGGAAACCTTATTGTTTTTTTTGAAGTAGCTAGTTATCATAAAAGTGAAATTATTCTAAGTAAAACTAACCACCTACGTCAGATATGATATTTCAAACTGTCCACTTGACATACAGAGCTTACAAATGCATTTAGTAGAATTTGTAATAACCTTGTGAATTCTTTTGAGGACGATTTTGAAAGTAAACTCAGAAGCAATATGAAAATTAACTTGAGCAAACTCCTGGATATCATCTATTTAATTTCAATAATTGCTAAAAAACCGCTTTTATGTAAGGGATTGACTAGTTATTATCACTTAAACCATAAATCGAGTGTTTCATCCAACTATAATCAGTTGACTTCATAAATATCACCAAATTTTCAAGGTCGCATTACGTGAGAACAAGAAGACACATCAATTCAGTAATTTCAAGTAGTCCTATATCTTTATAATAATCATAAGCTTTCAAATGACTAGCTTTGAGCTAGACTCCTGAAGTTCTTGTGAAAAGAATTAAATGGTAGAGTTCAAGCATACAGGAAGTACAAAATCCATCCCTGACAAAATTTGACAATCATCACAGAATATCATAAAGTTAAAAATGTGAACCACTGAACTGTACCGTATTGGCTTAATATTATCGTGACAGCATAGGGCTCTGGTTACGTTGAGTCGGAACATATGTACTGTTGTACTTTCACACCACTGTTCAAAGCACTATGAATTTTAGTTGTTCGTCATGTGATACCAGTCCTGAATTACTTCTGTATTACAACAGATCAAACCTCCATAAATCCTCTGTCT